GTGCGATTCAATTTGCGCACTTAGCACCTTCTGCCCTGGAGGAGAGTTCCTGGTGGGACCTCAGCCTCCCGACTTGACTGCAAGCTCACTGAGGACAGAGACCTTGGTTTGCCACAGAGCCTGACCGGCAGGAGGGCTCTGCTCCTCTTTGGCAGACTTGATTCAGCCTCCGAAGTGCTTTCTCTGCTTCTGTCTTGGCTCCTGCAAACCACTCAACAGTCTTCCTAAACACTGCTCAGACCCTCTGACTCTGCTTAAATGCCTATGGGGACTCTCCACAGCGGCAGCAATAATTCCCAAAGTGCGCCCTAGGGCACTTCAGTCCCAAGAGATGCTCCAGAAGAAGTTGTTTGAAGGCCTAATAAGTTTAGAAAATACTCTTTTTTGGAGCTTCCCACCCTTTTGAGATTCACATTCTACCTGAACATAATAAAGGCTCTGAGAAATCCTGTAAGTTAGTGTGCAACCAGGTTACCATGTTTGACACAGCTTCCCCAAACTTAGTCTATCATGCACAATCTTTTTATTATTATTTGCAAGAAATACCTCTAAGCAGCTCAAGAAACAGTCCCATGCTTTGGGAAGCAGTGAACTGAATGGTAAGTCCATTCGGGGAAGGGAAGGGCAGCTGTGACACGACAAGTCCCTGCCTGAGGGGGTGGGTCTGTAGGAGCACATGGGGAGCAGCAAAGGCTCGGGAAGCCAAAGAGGAGGTGAGGCTGTGGACGGAGGTGACAGAGACTGTGGGTCAGAGATTCCATTAATAGCTCCCTCCTCCAGGTTGTTTCCTCATCTGAACATGGATGTCCCAGGCAACTGTATGCACTTCTGAGCCTGGCATATCCGAAATAATCATGGCCTCTCATTGGGCCCAGAAGCCCCTGACCAGGGAGTCCCTGAGATGTTATGCAATTATGAGGTCTCCCCCCCAAAAGAATATTCCAGCGAGTCAAGTGGACAGTCACGGCGGCCACGTCCCAGTGGAGCGGCTACAGCAGGATCCTTCTATGGAAAGAAAAGCCCAGGATTTGGAGGTGGAATCCCGGCTTCCCATCCTGATCCCATCACTTACTGGGAGCCGCGAGGCCATGGAGAAGTGACTCAATCTCTCTGAGCCTTCTTCCTCATCCGTAAAATAGGAAATAACAGCTGCTCATAGGGAGTCAGGATTCAAACAGAGTTCTTGATGTCTCCAAAGCCAATTTGGTTCATTGCCCTGTGATTTGCTCACCACCTCCAGGGCTGTAGACATTGCCAAGGGTAGGATTAAGTTTCATCATTCATTCATCCATCATTCATTCAATCCAAACATTTATCAGGTACCTACAATGTGCCAGGTGTTGGGGGAACATCGCCAGGAAAAACAAGCCAGGTCTCCACCTGCTTGGAGCTCAGTCTGGTGGGGACTGAGTCACTGATGTATTTATTCAGTCCTGGCCAGCGGGCCAGGCACTGTGATGGGCTCAGCACTGTATTGAGTGCACTGTATTGACAAAGCACCTTCGCCATCACCCTTTCATTTGTTCCCAATGACAGTCTGGTGAGAAACAAAGTGCAGGGATTACAACCCGTTTTGTGGACAAGAAGCTAGAGACTCAGGAAGACCAAGTGAAAAGCTGGGCTGGGAACCCAAACCTCTTCTCGCCACA